GGCTGCGGCACGGCGGGGACCCGGCAGAGATGCCGTGCCGCCCGGGCGAGCGCTTCCTGCTGCTGGAGCGCCCGGTCGCCGTGGGACAGGCGGGCTCCAAGGAGGTGGACGCGTTGGTGGCCAAGCTGGGCGAGGTGCTGCAGCTGAGCGCCCAGCGGGCGCCGCCGCCGCCCCGCGCCCCCAAGCACCTGGGGCCGGGCAGCGCCCGCGACCGCGCCGCTCCCTACTCGCCGCGGTGCTGCAGCGGCGGCGGAGCCGGGGCAGGGCTGCTGGCGCCGCGGGGACCGGCCCCGCCGCAAGCTCACTCGCAGCACGTCGAGTCCCCGCGGGCGGACCGGAGCGGGCAGCAGCGGGTGACCAAGCAGCTGTGCGGACGGGGCTGGCTGCGGAGCGCCGCCCGCCGGAGGAAGCAGCCTCCGCCGGGACCGGGCGACGGGCCGGCGGAGGACGAGGACCCGCACCGGCTCCTGCAGCAGCTCATCCTTTCCGGCAACCTCATCAAAGAAGCCGTCCGGCGGCTGCAGCTGGCGGCGGCGGCTGCAGCAGCGGCGGCATCCGCGGCCTCCAGCGGCAGCGCCTCGGCGGGGAGCGGCGGCGCGGACGGCGAGGCGGCGGCGACGGCGGTGCAGCCCCTGCAGTAACCGGCGGGGACGAGCGGCAGCGGTGACCGGGTCGAAGGAGCGCGGCCGCTGGCGGCGGTGGCGGCGACGGAGCCCCCGCCGGGCGGGCCGCGGGAGCGCGGTGAGGGCTCCGCCAGGATGTAAGTGTGTCTCGGCGGCGGGGCCCCCCGCGCCGGTGCCGGTAGGGGCGGGGACGGTGCCCGAACCCCCCTGCCCCAAGGTCACCCGCGGCGCGGACCCCGCCGAGCCCCAGCCGGCGAGGCCGCGCACATCGCCCGCTCCGAGCTGTTGTTGTGCCCCCTTCCCTCCTCTGCCTTCCCCGGGAGCTCCTCCTTCTCCTCCCCCCGCCGGGGCAGCCCAGCCGGGGCCGCGGACCCCCCCGCCGCCGGTCCCCCGCTGCCGCGGAGCTCCTGCGTCTCCCAGGAGCCATTTGCAATAATCCTCGCTGACCCCGGCGGGAGGTGTTTCCTTTCCCCTCCCGGGCCGGTTTGGTTTTTTTGTTGGGGGTTTATTTGTTGTTACTTTAACGTTTATTGTTATTATTTCTCGTTGTGACTGTATGAAGCAGTTTTAAAAAAATGTGAATATCAAAGCTGGAAGGCAGCTGGACTTAACAAATGAGTGAATGGAGCCTGAGATGCATTGTTCACAAAAGGTAGCCGAAACAAGTTTTTTTCTACCAAAAAGAAAAACCCTGAATCCACCCTTCCCCGACAAACTCAATGGCTCAAGTACAAGACGCAGCTGTTGATTTTAAATATATGCACTTCGTACCGGAGTGTTTGAAATGTGTTCCTGATTTACAGGACTTACTGTCTTAATTAACCTGTCTGTATTGAATAAACGTGGTTTTGTTTTTATTTTTGGGTCTGTGTCTCATTGTTAAGGGGAAATGAATTCTGGTTCATGAAAACAAAACTGTCTGGATGATGCTCCAGTAGGCACGTTCCCCCTTGATCTTTCAGTTGTAAGATCTCCATTTTGCGAGCAAAAAAAAAAAAAAAAACCCACAACAATCCGCATAGTCTGATGCAGTGGGACACCGGTTATTAATGCACGGAGATGCAACTGAGCCCCTTTGTTTGCCAGCAGCGTTCATTCGTAAGCCGTGAGACGCCCCTTTGAGCAGCCGAGAATGTGGCTGTTGGAATTTATAAGTCAAATCATACTGAAACTGAAATTAGGTATTTTGTGTTGGGGAAGGAACAGGGTTTGTGTTGGTCACTTGTTTGGGTTGTCTGKTTTTTTTTTTTCTTTCTCTAAGGATAGAGGGGAAAAAACGGCTTTAGAAAGGAGAAAAGAGGTCTAGGCAGCAATTAAAAAAATCTGTAAAGCAGAATTTGGTAATTTGTTGCTGGTCATTATGTTCCAATACCTATTTTGAATACCTTCCTTTGTAAAATCCTATGTTGGGTATTTAGGAGTCATTGAGCTTCAAGATCAGAACTGAACACATCAGACAGACTGGAGCTTAACAATCTCCCAACCCCCACTCAATTTGAGGTAAAAGCTTCTCCTTTGAAGAAGGTAGCAATCCCACATGAAAGAAAATGGAAGATGTTTGCCTTTGTCCAAGACAGCAATTTGAGCAGCTACGTTTACTTGTGTGATTAGTCCTTTCATGAATACATTAAATCCACAAAATATTTTAGATTTCTTTCTGTGCCACAACTACTATGAGAAACTGATGRTGAAGGTTTTGATGATGTCTCACTGAATCCCTCATGCACTAGGACCAGTATGTGATGTTATTATTAGCTTTATCTTGACTAATTTATAAGTAGAATGCAGTTTTTCCATATCAAAGCATGTGAAACGCAAAWAAAAGTTCAGTGCATTTTAGAACCTCGTTAATTACTAACATCTGAAGTCCTTTTTCTCATAACTTCCACTGCTTTTGTGGCATTTTGGACAACTTTGAAGAGATTTGGGTCTGCCATTTGTTCTTAGCCTCTAATACAATGACAATACATAGGTTATCCTTTAAATGAATTTTACTTGCAACTTTCTGTTTCTTTCTTTATCCAGGAAAACAAGTTCAATAACAGATCCAAAGAATATAATCACTAGCCACAACTGAAAAACTAGTTATTCTTGTATTTGTCCTTTAGATGCCCAAGGGAGGGTAGGTATTTGCTGTGCAGATGCTGAATTTGAAGCCTGGGATGAGTAGTTTAATTACTAAAAGAGCTGGAGGAAATGAGCTAAAAGCTGTTCATAGCCGATGGAGCCTGAATAACTATGGTTAAAAGTATATGGGTGGGRGTCAGCTGGAATTCTGAAAGCTGGCCAGTCTGATTTGAACTTTTTGCCACTGATAATTATGCATCGATTTTGCATCTCCTTTCCCTTCCCCCCTTCCTCCTCCCCAGACCCTAGCCCCTGTATACTAATGAGAACAGCTAACTTTACAAGTGTCCTTTGTAGTCATTGAAAGCCTTGAGACATTCCTTTTAAGGATTTTACTAGAATAACACTTTTCAATAAAGTGGCAGTTGAAGTGAGGCGTAGAAAAGATGCTAATAAATTTCACTGTGACTGGCTGGTTTTTAAGCTTCCTAAATTACTTCTAAAATAGCTTTTACTTTCTCCTTTGTGCAAGGCTGGGAGATGTATATATGAAAAGGGTYATAGTAAGCTATGCGTTGTGCAGTGTATGATGATTTGGTAAAAGGAATTTTGGCACTTGTTTCGGATAACTTACATAACTCACCGACACATCTTTGTCACTTATAATGTGAGTGTCCTAAGCTCATGCCAGCAGCCTTTCTCCTCGCATCTTCCATATAAGTCTTTGTCTTCTTCAAAATAYAGAACATGTCACTTCTTCATAAGGRAGCGGATCGAACATGGCTTATTTYGGTTTTGAAAGACACATTTTACAAGATGGTGGACCAACTGAAGTATTGCCAGAATGTTTCTGTTGATTTGTTGCAAATTCTCCTTTTCTTTGCYTTGTGCTATGCTATGCAGGCATACAAATTGTCATGCAAAAATCATCATCTACTTTGTTTCCCAAACAAGATAAAACATGTTGACCTGGGAAATAACAATTTTTCTAAGTTTTGTATATCTGTGTTTTAGAGGTGTGTTTTCTTTAGTACTTTTAGTCTCTGCTAGTCCTCAAATACCAGTTGCTAGTTTCTAGAGAAGCAAAATGGAAATACATTTGGCCTTCACCGTATGCTTAAACTTTTTTTCCTTCGCCAGTGAAATATAGTTCACTTACAGGTTTAAATTTGGAATAAAATTATGTTTTCATGATAGGCATTTAACTAGGTGTTAGCTCTTTTTTTTTCATATTGTGAAGAAAAAAAATTGTTCAAAACACAGATTTTGCAGTAGATACAAGCTGTAGAACCAAAAAGAAACCATTTAGATTTTTGTAACAAGTGACATTTCAATGCACTGAGGAAGATATTTAATTTCATTATATCTACAGGGAGTTCTATTTTGTGGGTAAACTTGATTCTAAATAATGTAAACAAATGCACTGAAGAAGGCTCTTTGAMTGTGACTCTCTGTGGTGTTGCACTAGTATGGCACTGGTCTGCCACAGTTTTTTTAATTCTACATTGCTGCTTAACTCCTCTGGAGTTTTYTCTATATGACTGTACGACTGTTTTCCTGACTCTTTGCCCAAAACTCAGCTTTGCACCGTAGGTATATCTTACTCTTAGTACTCCCATGTTCCCTGAGCTCTTAAAATTAACTCAATTTAGCCAGAAGTCTGGCAGGTAGAATGATTTTTGTCCGCTATTTCCTTTGTGTGATCTGTCTCTGTTGTAACTCAYTATTGTGTATTGTACYAGCAATTAGAAACTGCTCTAAAAAYTATGTTGGCATGGTAYTTGGCATGATAAACGTGGTGGGAAAGTAGGGACTCCACCCTAAGTCCTGAAAGTGAGGTTTAAAAGAAGCCTTCCAAGCAAATAGCAAGCACATCTCATGGAAGGCATAAGAGAAAAGAAGGATGTATGCTGGTTATTGCACAATTTAAGTTCTGGTCAGCTATGACCAGTCCCAGTGTTGGTGACTTCTCCTACATCTCCACCTAAAAAACATTTCTCATTCCCTCCTAGTCCCCGGCCCCATGATTTTCCTCTCAACACCCTGCATTCCCTGCTTTACTCTGGCAATTTCTTTTCAGCTTGTGGTTGTAGTATTTCACTTTTACATGCCCTGGTTCTTTGGTGGGTTTTTTTTCTGTTTGTTTGGTTTTTTTCTGTTTTGTTTGTTTTTATTTGTTTTGTTATTGGGTTTTGGGTTTTATTTGTTTTGTTACTGGTTTTTGTTTGTTTGTTGGGGTCTTTTTGATTGGTTTGGTTTCTTGGTTTTGCTTTTTTTTTTTTTTTTAAGTACCTGGGAAATATCCGTTGAAGTGTTACAATGACTACATAAATGCCTTTGGGGGAACACAAAAATGACGTCAGCAAGCTCATTTCCTGAGTCAGTAAGTTTGGTTCGCTTTTCCAAAAATGATGTTTTAGCTGTGTGACTAACCTCAGTCACCTTTGTCAAAGCTGCAGAACTGCCATGATGCAATTTCCTTGGCAAAAGGCAGCTGCAGGAAGAGAATTGGTGCCCATAGAGAGAGGAAGGCTGCAGTGTGTCCAAGCTGCATTAGTAAACACTGTAAACTCCACAACAGAGGAAGCTGCAGGAAATCAGGCACCATAAATTCAAAGGCGCGCAGCATTAGCTGTTCCTTATGCAATATCCTGGATCTCAATTRTATTATTTTTGCTTCCCATTGTATAATATGGTGGTGTCTGGTAGAGGAAAACAGCCAGCTAAGAGTGCTCTTCATCACTGCAGGCATTAGGTAGGACATGAGCAATCAAAAGGAATTGTGAAAAACACCTTGTCTCTGTGTCCTCCTGGTAATCATCAACTTGGCACGACTTAATTCATGGAGAGGTGCTAAGGATAGGCTGTAAGCTCCTGAGCTGTAAGAAGAAGTTTAAYATGTTCAATTCCAACCCCAAGTACATATTTTATAGCAGCAACAATTTTAAAGTRAGGGGGAAAAGTCCTGCTGGAGCTTTGATCTTGGAAGCCAAGTGGTAAATYTGAGAACAAATGAACCCCCTTTCATTTTTCTCTCATGTAGGTACTTCAGTCCTCGTSCAAGTAATGTTGCTCCCTGACACACTATGGRGTTTGTGTCATCAGCTGCCCCTCAGGAGGGGATCTCTGATTGATTTGACATTGCAGGGAAGTTGCAGTTTTCCAGCTCAATGGGATCACTTCCAGGAGCAGCGCTGACTTTAATACATTTTTCATTTGGTGGTAAGGGATGAAACAGCACCAGGATGAAAATRTTTTAATTAGAGGAAATGGATCCTGGCTTGTTTAATAGTAAATATTTACTGCTCTAAGCATTTTACCATRAGAGTTTGGGGCTTATTCTACCCACATCACAACAATTGTCCTAGTTTCAAGGCTTAAATCTACAGAAGCACGGGCTTGCAGTTAAAATGCAAATTTGGGTTATTAGTGTTCTTAAATCCACATTGCAATGCCTTTTCTTGTTTACATGACAAACTTAATTTTCCAGAGGAAACCACACAGGGCTGAAGCAGGTGACTGAAGGCATGTAGGTACATCCTCAGCTTCTCCAGAAAAATGGAAATTGAGGGGGATACCTCATCCTCTCCTGTTGCTAGTAGGCAGCACTGGCAGTCGCTGTTCTGGCAATGCCTGTCTGTCAGTGTTTGGGTATGCCCCAGTGGCRTGATAGCTCATCTCTACCTTGTTTTGGAAGGTAAAAAAGCASACATTTACATTTTCCATCTTGCTGTTCTGCTCTTTTGTTAGCTTTCACCAGGCTGCTTTTCTCCAATGCCTCCGATGCAAA